AAAAAAAATTTCAAAGCGTCTACTGCTATATATTTAATCGAAAACACGAAATTATCGATATTCGATAATTATTAATATTGACGATAAAGAAAATAAATTGTACTGACAGAGGAAAAACGTATAATTAAAATTCAATACTCTCTCATTTATTCTAAAAACTGTAAACTCGACAAGTGTACAAATTTCTAAAAGGAACTCAAAGGAAAAATCAATTGTTCCCATCTCCAAAACGGAATTTCATCGCAATTCATTCAGAAGTCTACGATTTCATGCGATGCAAAATTAATCCTTGACAAACAAACGAACGCAACTTTTTTAACTTTTAATCTTCACGCAAGCATCCTATCCCAAAACGTCTTATTCCAATTCCAAAATTTCTTATTGTTTAAAATAATGCAAAATTTTTGCTCGTCATCGACTTCGATAATAATTTATTCTAACCACGTTCGTCAAATCATTAAAAAAAAAAAAAAATAATAAAAAAAAAAGAAAAAAAAAGAAAAAGAAAAAAAAAAGGTAGGAATGAAAGAAAAGAAAAAATCTCGCGAATTAATCAGCGAGCGCGACTCACCCCCCATTCGGGCGCAGCATCGCAGAAACGTTCGCATTGAAATTGCCGCGTTTTCGCGATGCACCCGCTGCGCGAGCGGATTGCGAAACGATCCGGGGACACAATGCCGGCGCCGATGTGCGCGACATATGGACACGATGCACCGTAAACTACGGTGAATCGTTTAAATTCCGTAATCCCTTTGTCGACGGCCACGGGATCGCAGAATTTCTAATCCATCCCCGCGGATGCACAATGGCCGCCGATCGATTCTTCCTCCCCCTCCCTCTTTCTTTTTTTTTTTTCCTCTATTTTTCATTTATCACCCCCGCCGGCGAGGACAAAGAATCGTTCGAGGGATTTGCGTTTCGAGAAGATGGGAGACAATAAGATGAAGGGTGAACGAAGAGGAACGCGCGGCAGGTGACAAAATCGCGCGCTGCTCGATGAAAAAAAAAAGAAAAAAAGGGAAATGAAGGATGAAAGGGAGGGATAATTTCAATGATTGAATTGTACGAACACTTTCCAGGAATTGTAAATTCTGTATCTTTGATGTAGAATGTATACGAGAATAATTATTATTATTAATATTATTATATAATTATTATTATTATCGCGATGCTTTGACAGATTTTTTTTGTCTCCGAACGAACGAAAACTAAATATATGAAATGGAGAAATCTGTTTTCGTACGCGGTATTCGATTAGAATCTGTTGAATAAACTGTTTTCTACGCCGCTGGTTACCGAGTATACAAGCCGTACATTTCCTTGGCACTATGAAAGCAACGTGGAATCATTACATTCCCGGACAAATAGGGGCAACGTGATCGCAACCCCCGGCAACACAGTTCACGATGGAGAAAGAACGGAGCGAGTGGAGGCAAACAAAAGGGGTTGGAAGAGATGGAGCTTCTCCTGCGCGGCGAAGAAAGCAAAGAGAAGAATGCGGTATTCCGGGGTAACATCCCTTATGTCGTACAAGAACGTTATTAGCGCGAGCTTTCCTCGCATCCACCCACTGACCTCCGTGTGTTGCTTGCCTAGAGGAGGGTAGACGGTTTCCAAGATGGAAAGATCTTCTTTCATAGAAGAAGAAGAGGAAGATATTCAAGAAGATTTTTAAGAAGCAAAAGGAGGAAGATTTCAAAAGAAGAGATTCGAGTAAGGGATCATCGATCAATCGTCGTCTGTCATACTGAAAATTATAAAACGTATTTTCAACCCTCTTATTAACTTTGCAATTTATATCCATTATTTATCCCAATCTAGTGAAAACTATATAATAATATTAATAATAATCAGAACCGAATAAAATTCACTAGAATTTGAAAAAAAAAAATACACAAGTCGTACGTATCTCGTTCTCGTTTCCGCGAGAAAAAAAAGGAGAGAAGGGGTAGCAAGGAGGGCTGAAGTTTCTAATCGAGAAGGGCAAAGCAAATATACGCAGGGGAGAAAAATGCCTATCTTGGATCCGGTTACTGGCGGAAAGTGAAGAAATAGGTCGAGCAAATACATAAATAAAAAGTAACGGGGATCATGGGATTAAAGCGGGATGGGATCGAGAAGATGCGGTCAGCGTGAAAATACTTTCCACCCGCCGATATTACTTTTCCCGGGGAAGAGGAAACACCACCGCCTTCCAAAGCTAAGCGAAAATGAGACGAACCAGAAGAGAGCAGAGAAAGAGAGACAGAGAAATCTTCCTCGTCGATATTACACCCCCTCTCCTTCCCAACGAGGAACGAAAACCATAGAAGAGGAGGGAACAAACAAGGGAAGCATCGGACAGCATCGAAGGAAGAAGAAGAAGAAGAAGAAGAAGAAGAGGCGAGTAGGAAAGAATTGGAAAGAATCGCTGATGATCCCAACCCGCGGTACTACTACTTGGACCACTATTACCCCCGTTTGTAAAACTACCACTACCGGTTTCGAGGAAGAAGGGGTGGGAGGGAGGGGATCGCGTAGCGGAGGAAACGGTTCGAGGAGGAGGCAAAGAGACAGCGAGAAACGAGGAGAAGGGAAGTAGTGTGTACCGAGGGACAGGAAACCGGTGTTTGGTTGACGGGGGTTGGGCGAGGAGGGTTCGGTCTCCATGGCGACAAGCAACCCCCGGGACCCACGGAGCTCGTCGCCGGGGTTGGTCGAAAAGGGTGGCCCAGGGCGTCTGTCGGGCAGGTTAGGCCGGGCGTATAGCCCGAATGTCACTCGACACAAGGGGGACACAAGGATGTCCTGGACGCGAGGAAGACGGACATACGGCGCGAGCTGCCCGACCGATAAAGAGGGTAGGGTGCGAAGGGTAGACGGGAGGGATGGGGGATCGGAGAGCAGAGAGAGAGACTCGAGCGGAGGAGAGGGTGCAGGCAGGCCAAGATGGCCGACGACGCGACACCCACCATGTCAATAACACCCTTCTTCGACGCAAAACCGAGCCAACCTCCCTCGTTTCGCCCCGAGAGTCATCCACCCAACGTCGCCCACCCGCTCTCTCTCTCTCTCTCTCTCTCTCTCTCTCTCTCTCTCTCCTCCTCCTCCTCCTCTCCCTCCCTTCCTCTCTCTCTCGCCCGTTCCTAGTTTCTAGCAGCTGCTTTTTCTTCCACGACCTTTCGCCAGCCACCAACTCACCCACCCACTCGCCCACCCTCCACTATATTCACGAGAACGATGATGCGCTCTCTCGCCGCGATTTTCCCCGGCTTCTTGCCTCCGCTCGCGGTAATTAACGCGACGATCCCCTGCCACCAGAAAAGGAAACGGCTGGAAAGAGAGAGAGAGAGAGAGAGAGAGAGAGAGAGAGGGAAGAGAATTCACAGGCAGAGGGGAGGGAGAGCAGCACTCGCTCGCAGAGGCCATTGCTGGCGAGGGCGTAATTCCGTTAAGTGTCTTCGTAAACTTCGTTAGCTGCATTTCCCGACATTACTCACCCCATCAAACGTTTCCACGCACACTGTGCGTTCGTTCGCTACTGGTACGCGCGCACCGTGTTCGATGCGTCTCAACCATCGAACCGAGTGGAAGGAGTGAAAGTGCAAATATAATTGCTTCCCTCTTTTTTTTTTTTTCCAACTCTCAGATTTTACAAAGACACGTGAGAGGACGAGACAGATGAAATTTGATATGTATTATATATATATATTTATATATATACAGGAATTTTAGTAATTTAGTCAGGGGATGACTAAACGGGGAAGGAAATTAAAAATATTACTGGACATATAGGATGGTAGTATCAGCCGGGGGGGGATCAGGTATGTATTAATCGAATCGGTTTGACTGTATTAATTAATAATCCTGCTTGTATCGTACGTAATGGGGATTGTTTTTAACAAATTTGGGGGAGGGTAACGGCATCAAACGATCGCATTAGTAATTTGTTTGTACTCGCTACGTCCCCTTAGGATGTTCGATTTGCAATTCGTGTTATAATTAACAATCATCATTAGCATTTGTAACCGTTGAAATGAAACTACAATTGAATTCGGTACATTAATATGCGTTACGTATTATCGGCGGAATTAATAACCGCGGTATGACATTCATTACATATGTGTCGTTCCGTTCATCAACATCACTTAACATTCTAATTTAACAATAAAATTATATGATTCCGGTCCCGTGCTATCTTCGATCCATACCCAACATTATCGTTCCAATGATAACCGTACAAACAATCTTGATTACACGCGGTTTATTCTCCATTAAAATTGTTTTTACGTCCAATGATTCATCATTGAAAATATCAGAATTATAGAGAAATTAATATTACCACGAATTTTTTTCTTTATTGTGGAGAAATATGTAGGTACAATATATTAGAAGAGAGAGAAATTGTAAATCGTCACGTTTCATCAAATGTCGATTTGACGTGCAAAGTTAACTCCATCCAGAGAGTCAAGGATATACATATTTCTATATATTAAACGCTCGAGGAATACTTACATTTTCATTGCACGATCTATAAAATTTCCTTCATTCGCGTTTAATTTAAAGTTTCTTGCATTTTTCCCCTCCTCGATTTCCTCTTCGAGCAAGGTATATATCAAGAAGAAATGTAACTATGTATGTATGTATGTATGGAAGAAGGTTCTATCCTTCGAAAGGGGGTTGAAATTCAACGAAAGAACTTCGAGAGAGAAACAGGTTTCTGTTTTCGTTCGATGCAATCGATGAGGAATTTCTTTTTCGAAGGAAGAGGCCACCACGTGTTGTTGGGGGACCGACACACAGGGAAAAAAGCAGATGTTGCAAAATCGAGTGGGCTCTATTAAATATAATAACCGTCGGGGATTTTCATGGCTGAACGAGCCGAAATATGTTACGTAATATTCACTGTTCTGGTATCGACCTGGCACAATGGAGGCAAGAGGCTGGAAGACGGTGGCTGCATCCGTTCTGAAGGAAACCATCCCGAATTGTTACGATATTTTCGAGTATGATTAACTTACGTGGAAGATCCTCGTATCGGGTACCGGCATTTTCCAATTTGTTTGCCTTCTTGTCTATCTCGGCTGGAACATTAAAAAAAAAATCAATCAATCAATTAAATAGTTATGATGTGATTCGAGAAGTCATGATATAAATTTTTCCCCAATCTATAAACTCAGAATTCAAACACCTGATGTGTCAGATATTAATATTTCATTATAATTTTGAATAAATGAAAATTTTGATTCTATCATTTACGATCCTCAGAATTTTTAGCTATTAAATTAGAGGAAAAAAGGCAGGATTTAGCCGAATTACAAATAAAAACAATATAGAGGAAATGGATACAAGGAAAAATTAGAGGATATTCCCTTAAGAAGGCAAAAATTTCCAAGGATATTCTTTGTCCACGATTCGAATTGTCATACGAAACCTATGTTCACGAAACATATGAGTTTACTTCGAGCGTCCACTTTCCATTTTCCATGTACGAATATACCCCCAAGTATAGCCTTGAACGAATTCGAAAGATCGAACGAGCGAGGCGCAGATAAGGATCGGTCGAAGGTAAGCATTCCGTTCGAAAGTTAGGACGCGTGTTCCGGTAGCACCCCGTGTAGCCACGCATCGACTGTAAAGATCGGCGAAAGCCGGCAGCAAAGGGTAGCAGAGTGGAGAGACGAAGCGAGAGAGCGAATGTCGGGGGGCCTCGGCCTAGGCAAGGCAGGAGGAAGAAAAGGGACAGAGATGAACGGGGAGGGGAAGGGAATTGAGGCGGCGAGTAGGAGGAGGAAAAAGAAAATATCCCAGGGGCAGGGGCATACACACAGGGCAAACCTCTGAAAAGATCTCCCACTAATGGGCATTATATTTTTCGTTACGAGAGCCGACCGGATTATGGGCCTGTCAGAGGGCCTAATAACTGGTCCCCGGTGGGCCACCTCGCATCTGATACCGGGGGCCCTTCTCTTTATACAATGTGCGCATTAAAAACACTAATCGCAATGCGCACGAGCACGATCGCGCATTGTAATAGCGCATGGGATCATCAAAGGCCGCCGACCAATGTACCGGGGAAAAGCTTCTGCACACGATCTCTCTCTCTCTCTCTCTCTCTTGCGACTCGCTTTCTACATCTCTCTCTCTCTCTCTCTTCTTTTCGTCCTTTTTTACCGGCCGAGCACTCGTGAGACTTCTTCTTCTTCTTTCACAAGAATTTCTCGCCCACTCTCGCCTCTTTGTGATCTCGTCGTTTGATCTCCTCCTCACGGGAGAGGAGGACAATTTTATTTTTTTCCCCCTCCTCGGAGGAGAAGCTGGCCTAATTTTCGAGGGCACGATCGGAGAATACGTTACATTTCCTTTTTCTTCCCCTTCTTTTTGTTTTCCTCGTCTTTTCGTTCGATCGAAGATGAAGAGAGCCGTATGGAGGGTAGAGATCGCGAGATGGCGATCTTCTCCATTGAGTATCTACGAGTGGTTCGGATTCCTTGATTTTTGCGCGCTCCTTTTGTGTCACGTTTTGTGCGTTGTGGAGTGGTGCAGATTGATTTTTTGTTTTGTTTTGTTGATCCCGTATGCGAGGGGTACAGATATATATATATATATATATATGGTTTGTTCTTTTTTTTTGTAGAGGGAGGATTGAGCGAAAGGGTTGTTTCGGGATAGGGGTGGAGGAGGGGTTGACAGAATGGAATTGACTGTGGGAGATTATTGATGCACCGTTCCGCTGATTTCGAATGATGAATATGGAAGTTGTGCAGGGATGAAGAGTTCGATGGAGGGTAGTTGGGATGCTCGTCGAACGAAAAAAAAAAAAAAAAAAGAAAGAAAGAAAGAAAGAAAAAAGAAGGAAAAAAAAAAGCAAGAAATTTTTATTTGGATTCTAATTGAAAAGATTTTCAGAGTGTCGAGTCGTAAATCATTTTAATGATTCGCCTTTTAAATTGGTTAAGCTGAATTATCGGTAACGGTTTTATTAACTGCCACGCGGCCCGGCTCGGGCCATCGTTAATTTCTGATGAATTTGTAATCGGAGTCGAGTGTTAATCAGTTTTGACAATTTCGTTGGAATTAATTGCGTGCACGCGACTTCGAAACTGCATTCGATATTCATCCGTTCTCTCTCGATCGAAATACGCGATCCCGTTGAAAGGGAAATTAATGAAAAACAAAAACAAAAACAAAGTTTAATAAATAATCTCATTAACGGAGAAATATTTGTAATTTCGTTATCAAAATATTCTCTCTTTTTCGAGGGAGAGAGAGAGAGAGAGAGAGAACGTCTACGTGAAATTTCCTAAAAAAAAAAGAAGTATCTTTGTTCCCTCTACTTCTTCATGGATACAACGATCACTCTTTGGATTTATGTTCCAATTCAAAATTTATTATTATTGTGAAATCTTCAAGATGACGACACTTCATTTTTTAAATGTCTTTTTTCGAATAAATTTCCAAGAATTTCTTCAATTTTATAATATTCATATTATTCATCATATAAAGAGAAGGATTAAAAGAGAAAAGAATTAAAGAATCAAGCAACCGTTATAATCATAAATACGCCATCATTTTACAACCCAAATTTCACAAAAAAATGATCGTTTCATCCAAAATTCATCTAAATCTCCAAAATTTCATTCATCTACAAATTTATACATACAACTTTTACAAAAATCCCCTAAGAGGCTACTCCAATAAAATTGAACGCAAGATCAAGATCATATCGCCAAGAAAATCTCAATGGAATTAAAAAAAAAAAAAAACGGATAATTCCAAAGAAACGACTCTCTATGAATCAAAAGATTCGTTCTTCCACCTAAAGTTTAAAAATCTAAAATTATATAAAATCGATACGCGAATAAAAACGAAAGACTGTTCCACTGCTCTGTCGAAGAAGATCTGCTCAAAAAAAAAAAAAAAAAAA